AAGAAAAATTACGCGCCTCACAGCAAGTTGCAAAGGAGCACATAAAGAATGAAAAAATAAAAACTAAAGAAAATTACGATAAAAAGACGAAAGAAATCAAACTCAAGGTAGGAGAAAAAGTCCTCTTGTACGACGAAACAGTTCGCCGAGGACGATCAAAGAAATTGGACTCCCTATGGAGCGGATCCTACACGATAATCGAAAAGAATTCGGAAGTGAACTATACAATAAAAAGAGGAAGGAAAACCATACGCATCCACATAAACCGATTGAAACCGTTTATTGAAAATTAAAAAAGAATAAGAAAAAGAAGAAAAAGAGAAGAAAAACGCACGAACAAAATAAAAAAAAATAGAATAAATAATAAGGAAAACGAAAAACAAAAAATAAAGAAAATTCCTACCTTAACGCCCTCCACTTCCACGTCCAGCACCGCGACCCAGATTCCACTCCCGCATAGCCTGAACAAGAGCACGACCACGACCCACAGGACGAGGCTCAGGGTTGAGAAAGCGACCACGACCCACAAAACGAGGCGCCGGATCCCACCGAAATTCAAGTCCGCGACCCCGATTGATACGGGGCGGCGGCGCGTCCACAGGCACTTCCGGCACAAAATCAACGTCACGATCGACCACTAAATCCGGAAGATCCAGCAACTCGACCTCGCGAACAAGCGCGGGCGCTGAGATTTGGTCCCGAAAGGAACGGGCAAAATGGTCCGACACGTCTGACACCTTCACTAACAAGGGGAGGGCCAAGTCGTGCACTCACGGATTTCGCTCAACTTTAAATATGTTTTAGTACTAACCCCCCACTAATTCATGGACAAGTGGCACGACGCAATACTCAAGCATTCGCGAGAAATTTGCATTAAAAATTTCTCGTGCGCTTTCTATACCGAATTAGTATAACACACATATAGTATGCTCGGATAAGAAAGAGATGGACAGAGAAGAATGGGCAAAGAGAGAAAAAAGATATGAGTGTAACTGAGCAATTTTCTGGGATAAAGTTCCGAAAAGTACTCACCCCCGATTTTTTTGAAACTGAAAGTATTCTTACGTATTTTGATGCGCTGATTACGAATATCATAGTGAAAATTGGCGACTATTTGATTTTCATGGTGGAAACCATGAAAAACTCATAAAAATATAGTTTTTTACGCTTATCGCAGTAAATACGGAAAATCATGATAAATGTTTTAGACAAAAGTTTTAGATCTTACAGAGATAAATATTTTATATTCTATTCATTTTTACCGTATAAGTGATAGTTTTCGAGAAAATCAAAGTTAAACATATATTTCAAACCAATTGCTGTATAGATGAAACTACAAAGGCTGACAGTACTGCATAGAAGTCCCAATATATAACCTCGCTTTAATACCCCTTCAATATTCAACCCTCTACCATTATAAGTACAACAAAAATGCATAAAAAACAAAATTTAATGCAAGATGTAGAAGTTTTTTGGATCGCTAATTATGAGTGTAAAGCAAGATTTGCAAAATTATTTGTTTAAATAATAAAATGTTAAAACAAATCAGCAAAAAAGTTGAAAAAATACAATTTAGTGACCATATGTTATAAGAGTTATTCGGATAACTGATTCTAAATATGGCGTTAAATTTGTAAAGTGCATTGTTTTAAATTATTCAAACAATAAAAGGTTTAAACAAATCAGCAACAAGATTGAAAAAAAATTGAAATGCTTTATTTAATGTAAAATTACGTATTCCTGATACAATTCTAAGACGATTTTTCCTTTACCAAAATTTGAATTGAAGCGTGATTTTTGAGTTATAAGCAAAAATAGTTAGCAATTCACGCGTCGAGTACAGAAGGCAGGCAGGAGCGGCACGGCGCGCCGCGAGCCCCCGGCGCAGCTGACCGTCCGACGTGTGATTACCACCGTATGAGTCGCTAACTATTTTATTTTATAACATAAAATTATGCTTTAAATAAAATTTTGGTAAAGAAGAAAATGTCTTAGAACTACGTCAGGAATACGTGTTTCTTAAAATAATGTCACTTTAGCAAAAGTTGTTCCGGATCGCCGGCCGTCGGATGCTGCAATCAGCTAATTGCTACACGCGATGCGTGTATGGCGGAGTGTGTGCGTAAAAGAAAGAAAGAGACAGAGAGGGAGAAAGAGAGAGAGAGAGATTTTTTGGTTAGTACTAAAACATATTTAAAGTTGAGCGAAATCCGTGAGTGCACGACTTGGCCCTCCCTTTGTAAGGCATACTGACCCCTAACAGAGTTTTGAGCAACATTAAAAAATAGGTCGTGACAGTTGGGAGCCATAACATCCGAAAAAACTCAAAGAACCGTTCGCACAACGCGACGAGACAACACGCAAGAAAAATTTCCGTACAGGATTAAAAGTACGAGACGACATCGGAAGACAGACTGAATGGAAGAGCGAATAAAAAGCCTGGAACCAAGTTTATCAATTGTGTCAAATGTTTTTTCGTTTTGCCCCATCCATGAGTCTAAACACAAGATAGATTTTTCATTACTGTTAGGTAAGTAAATATATTGAAACCACTTAATTGCGAGCTCCGATGTCAATTTACCGGAAGTAGAAGCTAAAACAAGAATATTATCCGCTTTGTATAAATTTTTTTCAATTTTTGGTCCGAATTTGCCATCCGTTTCTTGCGAAACGATGAGCAAGGGAGACATTAAACGTCCGCTTGCGGATACAATAGGTTGTATCGTATAACTGTGAGTTAGAGAATTCAGGGATTGTGCTAAAATTTCAATTGTTGATATTCCTTTGAAGGATAATGTACGACCTGCATGCATTTCCAAATTGAAACCTGACTGGTCAGAATTATATACATTATCCTCCCCAATCAATATAATTTCCGACTTTACATTTTCCACAAATTCGTTAGCTTTTCTCCTCAATTCTTCTTTATTCGCTATTTGCGCTTGAGTAACAAATTTATTGATTTTTCTTGAAACAATCCGGTGTCTTATTTTAAAATTATGAATCCATTTCGAGGAAGCCGTGAACAAATGTCGTGATAAATTACAATCATCTCTTGCCTTTAGAGCCCATCTCTTAATATCCAGATCATGTATTGGTATTGTTTGTCCAAGGCACTTTGAAGAAAAAACTCAAAGAACCGTTCGCACAACGCGACGAGACAACACGCAAGAAAAATTTCCGTACAGGATTAAAAGTACGAGACGACATCGGAAGACAGACTGAATGGAAGAGCGAGGCAGAGAAAAAGAGAATGCACCGCAAATGATTCTAAGAAAATATTATAAAACAAGAATATTATCCGCTTTGTATAAATTTTTTTCAATTTTTGGTCCGAATTTGCCATCCGTTTCTTGCGAAACGATGAGCAAGGGAGACATTAAACGTCCGCTTGCGGATACAATAGGTTGTATCGTATAACTGTGAGTTAGAGAATTCAGGGATTGTGCTAAAATTTCAATTGTTGATATTCCTTTGAAGGATAATGTACGACCTGCATGCATTTCCAAATTGAAACCTGACTGGTCAGAATTATATACATTATCCTCCCCAATCAATATAATTTCCGACTTTACATTTTCCACAAATTCGTTAGCTTTTCTCCTCAATTCTTCTTTATTCGCTATTTGCGCTTGAGTAACAAATTTATTGATTTTTCTTGAAACAATCCGGTGTCTTATTTTAAAATTATGAATCCATTTCGAGGAAGCCGTGAACAAATGTCGTGATAAATTACAATCATCTCTTGCCTTTAGAGCCCATCTCTTAATATCCAGATCATGTATTGGTATTGTTTGTCCAAGGCACTTTGAAATTTATCTAATACATATTTTGAAATTTCCAGTAACTTTTCATTTCTTGTTCCATTATTAGCAATTTGTGCTTCCCACGAATATTGAAGGGGTATTAACTACCCGTAAAACCGCTTATGGGCACAAATGAAAAAATACGTGTCAGATATTTTTGGTAGTTTTACATTTGTACCAAATTTGAAAAAAATTGGAGTGTAACACTTGGGTAGGTTTCTTTGTTAGATGGGAAATCAGATATAAGATATAGAGTCCATCGTTTTTGTCGAAAATTATCACTCGTACGGTAAAAATGAATAGGACATAAAATGTTTATCTCTGTGAGGTCTAAAACTTTTGTCTAAAACATTTATCATGATTTTCCGTATTTACTGAGATAAGTGTAAAAAACTATAATTTTTATAGGTTTTTCATGGTTTTCACCATGAAAATCAAATAGTCGCCAATTTTCACTATGATATTCGTAATCAGCGCATCAAAATACGTAAGAATACTGAGTTTCAAAAAAATCGAGGGTGAGTACTATCTCTGTGAGATCTAAAACTTTTGTCTAAAACATTTATCATGATTTTCCGTATTTACTAAGTGTTGTGTATTCGAAGGTCGAGTACAACGAATGTTTTGTAATAGCCGTATTACTTGTATTTAATAAGAGCCGGTAACTGTGGAAAACTTGTGCACCTCAGAGAGAGAGAGTAGAGAGAGAGAGAGAGAGTCCCTCAATTTTATAACTCTCCCCACTCCTCTTCAGTTATGCTCACAACGCCATCTCGCCCACGACTTCGGTCGGTATATAACAATTCCTCCCCCTTTAGATTATAAACGGTATAATCTCTGAATCGTTTTGGGGCAGTTCTTGTTCGAGTGGATCTTCACAATACTTGTTCTGGTGCTTCTTCTGTTTGTTGTTCTAGTCCTGCTTCAGCAACTTGTGCTTGTTCTGTGCTAGGAAACTCATCCCAGTTATAATCGTCGGTTTTTTCGATTACTGTTCCTGCTCGGGGCCGTAATTGGTCAATGTGTCTTATCCAACTTTTCCCATCAATAGTACGGATTTCATATGTTACTCGTCCAACTGGTTTTACTATCCAGGCTGCTATCCATTTCTGTGATGTAAGATAAGTTCTGGCCCAAACTGAGTCTTCCGCTTCGAATATCCGAATATTTATATTCTTTTGCGTTGTTGTATCTTGTTTACTATTAGGATGTAGTCCGTCTAACGCTGTTCGTAGGCGTCGTCCCATTAACAGCTCTGCCGGTGATGTGCCTGTTGCCATACTGGGAGTGGTGTGCTGTGTAAATAGAAACCGTGCAACTCCCACTCTTCTTTGGGTATCTTTTTTAACATCGTTTTTACCGTTTGCACGTATCTTTCGATTTGTCCATTAGATGAGGGATGATATGGTGCGCTGTACATTGCTGTTATCCCATTGTTCTGAAGAAAAACCTGATATTCATTTGACGTGAATACTGTTGCATTGTCTGATACTATGATCTGTGGCAGTCCATGTGTCGCAAAGAGATTTCGTAATTTTGTAATTACAGCCTGTGCCGTACAATTGCTCATTTGAAAAACTTCCAGCCATTTGGTATACGCGTCTACGATTAACATAAATATTTTCCCGTGGAAAGGTCCTGCGAAATCAATGTGTAGACGGATCCATGGTTTTCCCGGGGATACCCATGTGTGTCCTTGAACCTGCGGCATATTATTTTTTATTAGTTGACATTGATCACATTTACTTACATATGTTTCAATGGCTTTGTCCATTCCTGGCCACCAAACGTAACTACGAGCTATTGCCTTCATTTTAACTATTCCCGGATGTGCATTGTGTAGCATCTGGAGTACTAATTCTCTAGCACATTCCGGAATTATTACACGTGATCCCCATAACACACAATTTCTGTGCACCGACAGTTCTGTTTGGCGTTTTATAAAAGGTGCAAATCTATTCTCCTGTTGTTCCGCAGGGAAACCTTGAAGTAACCATTGATGTACTCTGGATAGTATTGGATCCACTTGTGTCTTTTTTCCGATGTCTCTCGCTTTTAATGATATATCCTGTGTTGATTCCAATATTTTTATTTTTTCTAAAAGTGGAATACTGAATTCCGGCGTCTCCAATGGCAATCGACTTAATGCATCTGCGTTTGCATGTCTTTCCCCTTCTCTATAATTCAGTTTGTATGTATAAGCTCCTAGACCACTCGTACACCCCTTTTTTTTCAAAAACTAAACATTTTAGAGAAAAACGTTTTGAACAAAAATTGTATGGTTTGGAGGGGAACATAAGATGGTGTCATTGGTTTGACCATGGATGGCATCGGGCGCCTATGGCGCCCCTAAGCTCCCATACCCGTGTCGCGACCCTACCGTGGGGATTGCCCCACCACGCACTGTATCGCGTGAGTGGGAGGCCGGCCGCCGGTATATAAGGCAGTCCGGCGAGCGTATCGTTACCAATTCCCGATCCCGATTCCTGTCACGTACAACTCTCCGGATCCAGAACCGACACCCCGCGTTACACCAGGCTACGGGCTTCCCGTAGTTAGGCCGGGCTCAGTGATGCCAGAAATGGGTCCCGCGGGTCACGGCTCAGCAATGGAAGGGGTAACGCACACAATCGAGGACACCTTTAATTTTTTAAATGGAATCTCCTATTTTTTATTGCAAATTCTTATAGTTTATGTCGAGAGCTTTTCAAAACACTATAATAAAGTATTTTTTCATTAAGTACTTTTTGAGTTATTTGTAAAGAAAATACAACTTTTATCTAAAACATTTTTATCTTAAATTTATAGATTTTAAGATATTTCAGTGGATACATTAAAATGGCCTACCCTGTATATGTACATTTTTCACGCATTAATTCGCGAATCGCACGAAATAAGCGCGAAATAGGCGCGAAAGAATTTGTCAGAATTCGCCACGGGCTGACTAGCTCGCCTAACGGTACAGGGGCAGGGCAAGTGTTGTTCTAACGCGATAAGTTATGCAAGAGACGACAATTACGGAAACGACAAACACAACTGAAAAGAAACTCGTAAATTAAACAAAGAAATTAACAAATTTATTATAATAGCGGGAGTCGCAGCTCCTCGAGAATAGTAATGATAAACCGCGCGGATATTCGGCTGCGGTAAAAAAAACGCGGGGGCGAGATTGGCTGTTAGAAATGGGGCCCGAAAACCCCGGAAAACGTACGCCGCCGTCGGACCATTATATCGGCCGTAATCCTTTCTCGGCGTCAAACGTGCCTCGCACCGCGGAACTGACAATTAATAGATTATTGGATATAATTCGGGTGAGAACCCTATCCGACTCTCGATATCAAACCGCCACAAAAGCGACCGTATCGCCCGCTATTATTACTTAAATACTATTGCGCACTTAATTCTAACAAGCAATTAATGCAACGCGAACATGCTTTGATACGGACAGACGTGATACGCAGTATCGAACACTCAGCACACACCCACGCAATCCATGCAAGAATCGCGAGGAAACGATTCTGTACCACAGACATAACACATCGAATTTACGCGGTTCACGCTCTCGCGCAACCCGTACAATAATCGCGAAAGAGATTCGCACCAGATCTCTTTTAATGGTAAAAATCCGCGTCCTCTTCGATGTCGTACATGTTCGGGTGTGGACTCGTACGCGGTTTCGGTTCTTTCTCCCGGCGGAGTTCTATGCTCATTGTTTTGTCGGGGTTGCGATCCTCTCATTTTTAAATCGTATATCTCGGCATGCATACTTCTAATTTCCCGTCTCATTTCCTCTCTCATTTCCCGCAATATGTCCCTAAGGTCGGCTGCTTCGTCCGAATTCACTTGCTTTTCTAGCTTTCTCTATTTTTGGAATCGGCATTATTGTAGACGTTTTCCAACCTTATGGACAGCAACCTTCCTTCAAAAATTATTTATTATATCAACAAATTCCTCTTTTATTACGCAAAATACTGCCTTTAATATATCGGTGGCGAATATGGCGGAGGATAACCTCACGGGATAACCCCGGGATTCTTCCTCTCTGTGTGGCTGCATGGGGTCGACGACGTTGACGTCCTCTCGTCCGGGTCCGTCCTCCGATCGCTGGTATCCTCCTCGATTGCTTATGCCACAACGCTCTCGTCCTCGCTCGGCTATTCTCTCGCTCTTTGGCTTTCGCTCTCTCTCAAAACGCCTCTAACTCGCACGCAAGCTCGCGTCAGTCTGACTCCGGATCGTCGCAATCCAGAATCGATACCTGTGGGCCAGCCGGGGCTGCGCACATGGGGTGCGTATTATCGCGACCAATCACGCGTTATTACGCGCTGTGGCCGGCGAGCAGCGCGCTCACGGTCGTATCGAAGGTGCGCGCGCCCCCGGTATCGCACAGGATAATTCGCTGGGGCCCTTTCCGCGGGGCCGTCGCGGGATCTAGGGCGAACGGCTTGGCCGGAAGTATCGCTGCAATCCTTTCGATCGTCTTTTCTTGGGGCCGTGTCACGCCATCGGGAGCGTGATTGCAGTCCCTCCGCGGGGACCGGATCCGCACGGGTCTGGGTCCTTGCGCGAGGATCCTCTCGCTATCCTGTGCATTGCGCATCACGTGTGCGGGTCCTGATCCCGTCGTGATGTAGCTAGACGTTAGATGATTTGAATTCCGGGATTGCTGGCTCCTTGCAGGCTCCCAAATCAAATATTCATATGACAAAAAAAATAACAAACGAAATTAATATAAGACATGAAATGTCGATTAACAACGCCTCTCCGGAGACAACGGTACAGTTCTCACTATGTTTCGACTGGCGCGGCCCTTTAGCACGCGCTTTGCGATCGGAGAGGGATTCGGCGGACGCGCGCGAGACGGCAACGTCACACCATATATATATATTGTAACGATACCGTATATATATATAT